TTTTTTATCATGAATGAATAATACATTAAATGTAAATAAAAATTGTAAGCTGAAACTTTTTACTTGTGTTTCAACAAATTAATTGGCATAAATGCTTGAATTTCAAGTTTGATATGTACTGCCAATGCATAAATGCATACATACTAGGGTACTGCAATTTGATTTGATTTGATATGATCAAATATTTGAGTTCAATTCAAATCTGAAATTTTCCAATTCAAATATGATCAAATTTGATTTGATTTGATAAATATTTAATTTAATTTAATTTTTTCATTTTATAAAATGAGTATTTTGTTTAAAAGATCAATTTTATTTAAAAGCTCAAGATTGATTTATATAATAAAAATTTTTGTAAATTAAATTTTATCTTCATCAATTAATATTTTAAAATTTAAAAAAATTTTTTCAAACCAAATCAAATTCAAATATTTGATCAAATATTTGAATCAAATCAAATTTAAATCAAGATATATTTAATTTGATCAAATTCAAATTGATTTAATATTTGATTTAATTTGATTTTGAAAAATTCTAATATATACTACTTTAAATGATCTGTTAGTTTGCTAATTAGTAAATCTATTATATATATATATAAATTTTAATACTTATTTTGTTTGTTTATTTTTGTATTTAGTACTATTTAGTCTATTTTGCATATTTTTGATTCATTAGTTTTATGTAAATAGATATAATTTTTACAATTTATGTCCTTCTGCTTGGGCAGCTTGTTGAATAGTTATTCAAAGATTATAAATATTTTTTATTTTTTATTCTTTTATTTTGTAATAATTGTATAAAGTTCTTTTTGTAATTTTGTAAGTTAAACATTATTATCATCTTCTTGGTTTATATAACTATAAGAAATAGAAGAATTGGCAATCCTAGTATAGTGGTTGAATTGTTATTCTCCAAATAGTAGATTCAGAATTTAAATCTTACTAACAATAAAATTTTGAAAAATGGTCTTATTCTAGTGTTGGGTTTGGAAGATTGTGACTCAGTTGCTCTAAAATTCAAAATCTTATTTAACATATGACAAGTAACCTTTTCAAAAGAGGGTGTTAGATTTGGCTTGTGGGCAGTTAAGGCTTTTGGTCACTTTGAGTCAATGAATGCAAATAGGTTAAGTCATGTGGTCAAGAGCTTGAACAAACAATGATGGTTATTGGGGTTTACAAGATTTATGCCAGATATAGTGTTAGAGTTTTTATTATAGATAATACAATGTATTGAGACTTGTTTATTGATCAAGCAAATAAGACATATCATCTCTTAGGACTATTTCAGCCTTTATTTATAATACTAAATTTATCACTTACAAATGTGACTTTGCACTTATTATTACTTTAAAACTATTAAATATTATTTATACTGATCTATGTAATATCTTTAAGGATGTGTAATTTCTATTTCCATCCTCTCTTCTGGATCTGAAATATCATTTCTGGTCACAAATGTAACTTATTGCATTTTATATATTTTTCATATAATCGAACATAATATCTGGTATCACAATATCTGTCATCATACTAGTAACTTAAACAAAATATATGGAGTTGTAACTCTGTAATTTTAATTATACCAAAACTAATTTTGAAAATATATAATATTATATAAATAAATTTAAAAAATATATATTCTATAAAAAGTCCTATTTGAAAGTTTCAAGTAAAGAGATAATATGATTTTCAATAGTACTATTTATGAAAATCTTAATTTAAAGAAAAAAATCTAAGACGGGTAATCTGTACAGACAAAAACCCTTATATAAAAAAGGTTCACCAACATGTCTATTAATTAATCTGAATATAAAGTTACATTATACAGAACTTACTGAATTAGTAGTATAGAAAGATTTGCAAGTTACTGATAAGGTTATAAAAAAAGTACTTTGATTATATAAACTCTACAAGGATATAGCAGTTTAATAATTAACTCTAATTGCAAGTGTTGGTTTAGTTATAGTGAGTTTAGATTAGCTGTAAACAGAAATACAGAAGGCTTTAGAAGGTTTACTTTAAGAATAAATTAGTCCTAAAATTAAAATAAAAATCCGAATATAACCTAGTAAAGTTAATACAAGTTATAGATTTAGAGAGTTTAAATAAAACATCTAAGCAGAGGTGTTAGATATTGCAACTAATTGAAAACTCTTGAGTGGACTCTTTAAATAAGTAATATAAAAAAGTTACATATGTAATCAGTTGTATACTTTTTCTATAATTGTTCTTATAGAACTATGTTATTCAAAAATTGTTAATAAAGTTAAAAGACCAAAGAGGTCATTTTATATTAACAAAAAAGAAATAGAAGAATTAAAAAAATTGAAAAAAAATCAAAAATATCTGACTTTACAACTAATTTATTATTTTTTAAATTTTATATGCATATTAACTTATGCTAGTATAGTAAATACATATTTGTATAATTACTAATTCTTAATAATAAACAAATATTAATTTTAAATTACTAATCACTAATTTTTAATAATAAATAAATGTTAATTTTAGTTACCAATTACTAATTTTTAATAATAAACAAATGCCAATTTTAATTACTAATTACAGATTGTTGATAATAAATAAATATTAATTTTAATTACTAATTATTAATAATAAATGAATATTTTATTCTTATTCTTTTTAGCTCTAATTCTAATTACCAATAGTTATTTTATATTTTCAAATAGTTTATAAAAGAAAAATATTAGTAAAAAAATAAAAAAAATAAAATAAAAAAAATAAAACTAAAAGGATTAGTACTTATCTTTTAAAATAATTCAACATTTTTCTGTTTTATTTTACACTTTTGGGTAATTTGTTAAATAAAAAAAGATTATTAATAAGAAAATAAAAAAATACTAATAATATAAAAACTAAAACATATACTTATTAATTAAATTAAATTATTATTTTATATTAGTTAGAATAATAAAAGAAAAAATAAGAAAAAACAAATATACAAAAATAATACTTATCTAGATTCAAATCATTTTTGCACTTGCAAATAACAAGAAAAAAATAAATATAAAATAAAAATAAAATAAATAAATTGAATAAATAAAAAATAAATATAATGTTTTAAGATATTTTATATTAAATATGCCAAATTTGATTATATAATGCTTTTTTTTAACATTAATAATAAGGTCATGCCTTTAATTTTATTGAAATTCAATTGAAGTTTTTACAAAAAAAGTTTACTTTTAAATTACTATAAAGAATAAAGACTCAGATATATAATTTGTGATCTAAACCTTTATATAATGCTTTTTAGCAATATTATATACTAATTTTAATTAAATAAAAAATTAAATTGTAATCTATCAATTAATTTAAAGTTTAATTTAATGTTTTATAACTATTTTTAAAAAAATTTAAACAGTTTAGAAGTAAAAGACATTTATTTATATTATATATCATTTATTATTTAAATAATTTAAATAAAATTCATATATATATTAAAAATTATAAATTATATTAGAAAACTTGTAAGACCAGTATAAAATAACTTACTGGTATATTATATTGGTAATAGTTTCATATAAGTGCTCTTTATGTTCTATTTATAATTTTAGTTGCTTTTTATAGTTTTACTAATATTTGACTTTTTTTATTAGAGTTTACAATATTATATAATTATAAAATATAATTCAAGGTACAGCAAAGAATATTAATATTTAATATATATTAAACTAATAAGAAATTATATATATTACAATTGAATTCAACATAAATAATTAAATTTGTAATTAATTACAAACAAAAGAAATTCATTTTAGATTAAATCTGTTCTTGTTATAGATCTAAAGTAATTATATATCAATTTAAATAATTAAGTAATCATAATTTTAATCACTTTGAATTTTAATATATAAAGAATCTGATTATAAAACACAGGTATAATGATATCTTAAAATCCTATAATAAACCAGGTTTTGGGATTCTAACAAAAAATATTTCTCATAAAACTTTAGTATAAACTATAAATTCTCTAATCCTAAAGCTAACCTTTAATGATAAATCACATTTAATTTTTGGTTTATAATTTTATCTTACATGGATTTATTAAATAAATCAATAGAAATTTCTATTAAAATTATTATTAGAATATTTGAATAGCTATCAGGAATTGAAAGTTTCTATATTATAGAGCCTAAAAATTAAAAAGTAATTAAACCTTTTATCAATTAACTAAAAATTAGATATAGTGAAATAATTAGACTATACAAACTTAATAAATTGGTTTTCATAGCAAAATTTTTAAAAGTGACATAGCAATCCAGCTTTTTAAAAAATTTTATATATAAAAAACAAAATTTTTTAGACTTTTTAAAAAACTCATCCAAATAGTAAGGCCACAAGAATTTAATTTCTTGGGCTTCATAACAAAAAATTTTAAACAATCCAGCCAGCTGGCTTTTTCTTTTTTTACAGCTGTTATCATAAATTCTAGGACACTTGGCAAAAATTAGCCAAATGATTTTTTGGCCAATCTGGTTAAGTAATTAATTTCGGCAGTATTCAGTATAATGATAATATAGACTAGGTAAAAATCACCACCTAAAAAAGTTTCAAAATTCATGTGATATTGTCAAATCATCATGATTAGGATCATTAATTAATTTTTTTTTTTGATACTTCAGAGTGAAAAGTGATTGTTAAAAACATAAAATCCAATAAACACACTATTCTAAAATATACGTTGATTGCTGTAACTAAATTTCTACTAATAATAAATGAAAAAAGAATGAATATTGAAATGAACTTCGCTCTATAAGTAAATTGCAGATCATGTGACTTGGCCTAATTTTTATTAGTTTGTATCCAATCATGTGGAGATCATGACATCATTACATTGAATAAATTTTTTTTTTTTTTTCGCTATATATACTTTTCTCTACCTAGTTCTCTTCCTTAGGCCATTTTTATTTGGTTTGCTGTCCACAACTTCAGAGCTCCAAAGTTATATATTTTTGCTTATACAAGCCTTTCATGTCCTTCAACAACGCAATTACCAATAATGCAACCATTCAAGATAATACCCAACAGGTCTCAAACAAAGAACGTAACTTTGCTAATATCAATGACACCTCCTTTATTCTAGCAGAAGAGATGGATAAACTTCCCACTAAAATTTATAAGAAAAATATAATTCCTAATGAAACATGTTAATGTTTTCTACAAACCTTTCCCAGAAATGTGAATATTAAGTTCACACTGCCACCTATAGACAAACAGTTACTTAGACGAATGTCAAAGAAGACAAAAGATGTGGATAAAACCTTACAAAAAATTTTCTACTGTTATTTCTCTGCTCTTAGACCTCTGGACAATGCTATTCATACACTATACCAAACAAAACCTGACGATCAGAACAAACAGGCCCTATAAACATGGGAATACATGGAGCTATCCCTCCTTACCACTAAAACACTTATATTAAATTCATTATCTTATACAGGCGAACAAAGACAAGAACATGCCATTAAATATATTTACCCTAATCACCAAACAAAACCTGAGGTTGAACTCCTTTTTGCAAATAAACTTAAAGATGTCATTAAAGACAAAAATGAAGAGACCAAGTTTTTCAATGATGCTCTGTGGCAGAACAAATGAGCACAAAATCTCTAATCAGAAAATAAGAAAAAACTATCACAACAAAACTTCTCTAATAAAGGAAGATTTCACCAATGTAGCACACAAAGTTTATGGTCCTACAACACATCTAATTGGAAATGAAGCCAAAATTTTCAACAGAATGAGTCCCAACCTCAACCACATCAATAGAAAACGCAGTAGGGGCAAGACTATGTCACTTTTATTCGGTATGGGTCAAAACAGTTGGCGACTCGTAGACACTAAATATAATAAAGAATGGATACGAACCTATATAGCAAACTGTACCATCAAGAATACATCAAACTCTATCCAATCAAATGTATTCATATCAGGAAAGATCTGCACTAAAATCAGAGATCAAGAATCTCTTGGTACAGAAGGTCATAACCAAGATTTCATTGGACAAACCATGCTTTTTATCAAAACTTTTTTTGATTTCCAAGAAGTCAGAAAAGCTACAATCAGTTATAGACTTGCGATCCCTAAATGCTTTCATGCTACACCAAAAATTCAAGATAAAAGGCATTAGTTAGTAAAAACACTATTAAAACCAAAGGATTACTTAACAAAAATAGACATAAAAAACACATTTTATCATGTTCCATTGGCTCACTCTTCAAGGTCCTTCTTCACTTTCGACTTTCTGAATTCATGTTATGTGTTTACAGCATTACCCTTTGGTTTTACAACAAGTCCCAGAATCTTCACCAAGATCCTAAAACCAATAATAAAGAACCTGAGACCTCAGGGGATCAGATTAATCATCTACTTAGATGACATTATAATTATGGCAGAATCAATAAGTTTAGCAATAGAGCATATCAGAAAGGTCTGTAGGATGTTAAGCTACCTTGGATTCATAATAAATAACAAAAAGTCACAACTAATCCCAACAAGAACAATAGAATTTCTTGGCTTCAAGATAAACTCAACCAACATGTCACTCAAGATTACAATAAAGAAAACCAGTGACATTATCCAAGAATGCAAGAAACTAAAGGCAGTGAGAATAGTTCACATTCACAAGCTAGCTGCCCTGTTAGGCAAGTTGAGTGCAACAGCAGAAGCTCTCTTTCTAGTAAAACTCTTTTCACGAGCCTTGCTCAGGGACAAAAACACAGCATTAAGATGCAGAGGATGAAATACAATGGTGACATTATCAACAAAGAGCAAGGAGCAGTTGGAATGCTGGATAAAGAACTTAACAAAATGGAACAGAAGAAGAATTACATTCAATGACCACTTCACAGTGATCTATACAGATTCCTCCAAATCAAGATAGGGTGCTGTTCTAAAAGATCAGGTGATCTCTGGATTATAAAAAGAGAAAACAAGACAAAAACACATCAATTACCTGGAACTTCTAGCAGTAAAGATGGCACTAGACAAATGGAGACACCTAATTAACCAAACCATTCTTATCTGGAGTGACAACAGAATGATCAGAGTGGAACTGTCTCAACTCAAATAAGTCATTTAGTAGAGACAATATGGTTGCAATGTCTCAAACGGCAAGTGAAGCTGAGAGTGAAACATATCTCAGGATGACTCAACACATTAGCAGACCAGGCATCATAGAATCGAATGGACAGACATGATTGGAAGATCTCCAAGAAGACTTTCAACTGAATTCAAGAAATTTGAGGCCCAAGAGACCTCATTATTTTTGCCAATTACAAAAACCACCACACTCTAAATTACATTTTCTGGAAATCAGACCCAAAAGCCTTAGCCATAGATGCACTTCAGGTCCTATAGAAGGGCTGGAGTATTTGGGCAAATCCTCTATAGGTTCTCCTACCCAAAATACTACACAAAGTAATCAGAAAAAAGATAACAATAGTCATAATATTCCCACTATGGCAAACAGCTTCTTGGTTTCTGATGTTGTTGTCACTTCTAGATGACTTCCCAATACTCCTCTCCAAGAACTCAGTGGAACAGACCAGCAACCACGACCAATTCAAATGAGTGAGCAGGTGGAACCTATGCGCAGCACGTATATTAGGGCACACCTTAAGAACTAAGGCCTTTCAGAAAAGGCTATTGAACTTTACACCGCAGCATATGACAAAGATGCTTCAAAGACAGTATCTTCGAATATCAAGAAATAGATCTATTGGTGCAATGAAAGGCAAATTGATCCTATTATTTGCAATATAAACTGCATAATCAAGTTCTTTGATGATCAATTAAAAGCAGGAAAGACATACAACACAATTGCTAGATATAGATCCGCAATAAGTGAGGTACATGATTGGATCGATAACTCTTCAGTCAGATCATATCCTACAATCATTATGGTAATGAAAGGAGTTTATAACACCAACTCTCCTCCCCCACAGAATGATAATATAGTCAATCTTATTCCATTGTTCGATAAAATTTATTCGTTTGGCAATAATGAAGAAATGAACATACTTTTATTATTACAGAAAGTTACTTTTCTATTAGCAATCACTACAGCTTGCCGTCCTTCAGACCTAGTCTGTATTGACATTACGTCTCAAGTACAGACTGAGCATGGCATGATGCTTAACATTAAGAATCCCAAAGAGCATAAAATTTCAATTGCTTATGGTGGTAACAAACCTCAAACAAAGAGGATCTACATAGAGAACTACGAAGAATTACCAGAAATCTCTCCACTAAACACAGTCAATACACTCATAAGACACACTGAAGTCTGGAGAACTACAAAAGAACAGAAAGAGCACCTGTTTCTAATCTTGACTAATGCTCACACCCCAGCCTCAGTAGATACTATTGCGAAATGGGTTAAAGAAATTTTAAGAGAAGCATCTCCAGACCTAAAGGCCAAGGACGCAAGATCATTAGCAGCTTTCTATACCCAGAATTCAGGTGCAGATCTCACTACAATACTCACAATGGGTAATTGATCAAGTCATAGTACCTATCAATGCTTCTACCAACGGGGGTCATGATTATGCTTCAGAAGAATCAAATTACACAAGGAAACATAGCAACAACAATTAATAATACTCCACACTAGTCACATGATCTGCAATTACTTACAGAGCGAAGTTTATTTATAGAAATGTATGAACAAGTGAAATGCATTTATAAATGGACAAGCAAAGTAAGTAAATTAAAGATCACTCCCCCCCTCTCTCCCAAATTTTAAAAACATTAACTAAACGGCCTAAGGAAGAGAACTAGGTAGAGAAGGGTATATATAGCGAAAAAAAAAAAAAAAAAAATTTATTCAATGTAATGACGTCACGATCTCCACATGATTGGGCACAAACCAATAAAAATTAGGCCAAGTCACATGATCTTTAATTTACTTACTTTGCTTGTCCATTTATAAATGCATTTCACTTGTTCATACATTTCTATAAATAAAATTATAAAAACTAATCAAGAAAATGCAATTGCATCAGAAAATCTTGTAGATTTTATTTTAATGCTCTTCCGAAAGATTATAACGCTGATTATTTTATTTGAGTAATAATACTTTCTGGTTGTACGTTTATTGAATAAAATGAAATGATTAATTTATTACTTATCAATATTATTTTGTGAGTCTGAAGTTCTGTTTGTATTTTTTTGTTACATAAATTTTTTGTGCTTGATATATTAGTCATGTAATGTTCGAAAACTTTTTTGGGTGACGATTTTACCCCGAATACTGCCGAAATTAATTACTTAACCGGATCGGCCGAAAAATTATTCGGCTAATTTTTGCCGGGTGTCCCAGAATTTATGATAACAGCTGTAAAAAAAATTTCATACCAAAAAATTTTATAAAAAATTTTATAAAATTTTTTTTTTTTTAAAACCCACCCGGTTATTAAAACATATAAAAAAAATTTTTTTACAAGTTTTCGAATTTTGACCAGACCGGGTTATGAAAATCAATTAATTGATTTTACATGGCCTAAGTATACTTGAAATTTTTTTTAGAGTTTTGTAAATTTCGACCCGGCCGGGTTATGAGAACCGATTTATTAAGTTTGTATGGCCTTACGTATTTACTGTAAATTTTTTGGTGATTCTCCAGATAAAGAATTAATTGGCTTTGAAAGGCTTTTAAAATTAAAGCAGTTTACTTGTAAGTTTATCTTTAGGAAAATTTGGAAATTCAATCGATAACGTTAGAATAATTGCATCTAATATTGTTAATTCATTTTTATCTTTGGCAGCATTATAATTCACTGCATAATACCATCTCGATATTTTATCACAGATATCAGATACAGTTGGTCTTAACATTCATACATTGATTTGCTAATTGAATATAGCATTCATGAGTGCCTTTAGCAAATTCAGGATGTAATCCTCTACATATTTTTATGGCTAATGTTTCATCATACTCCACATTATGATGAGGAGATCTTCCTGTAGACATCTCAGTCATGATGATACCAAAACTATAAATGTCAGCAGCTTTTGTGTATACGCAACGTAAGGTAAAATACCATAAATATCATCTTATAAATCACAATCATCCTTCTTTTTAAATTATCCCAGGTCTGCAATCTAAGATATTAGATTACCATCAATCAATTTTTGTAATATATTACCGCTATGGAAATCTCTGTGAACATATTCTGCTTGGTGTATTTTTCTTAAGTCTTTAAATATATCGACAAGTTGGTTTAATTTCTTTTCCAATTAAGATCTCTAAAATTTAAAGATAGAAAATTATGAAGATTTTCTCTATTTGCATATTGAAATACCATCAAACATTTATTATTAGCTGTATCTTGAGTTAGTCTATACACTTCAAGATTATTGCCCATTAACCAAAATTCTATGTAACTTTTAAACTTATTAAATAAAATACATTTTACAATGTTAATAATTTATTTATATTGGATCATGAGAAAATTATTTTAAGCTACTTCTCTTAAAATTTCATTTGTGAACCAGGTAAACTTTAATTGCATTTACCAATTTTTTGAACGTTAACTAATCTATTAAAAAGAATCAATTCGATTACGTCATTATAAATATGTAAGATTCTAATAGATTATCAATTCTTGAATGTGTGCCAGGTTAGTGGCGCAGAAAAAATTCAAGTCTTAATGGTAGGGTTGGGAATCGGGGGAAGTAGTATAGATAATTTTCCAACAAAAACTTTTATTGATTTTGAGAAGTAAGCGATTTTTCATAAAACGGACGTTTGTTTTGAATTTTCTTGATCTTAAAATCTGATTCGTAGCCCAGGAATTCTGCGCCACAATTCTGGCACACATTCAAGTTTTCATCGCTCACCCACAAAAAATTTTCCGGCACGTGCTTTTTTGCCAATTAGATCGAAGGATCAGGTGTAACGTAAAATCAATTAAGTGAAAAGATTAAGCATCATCTTTAGGGTTAGGATTAAAGATTACACTAAAATTTCACGAGTAATTTTTTTTTATTTGAACGCAGAAGCCAGTTTCATAGGAAAAACATTTCGATTTTTTAAAAAGACGTGATTTTCACCCCGTGATGATCATCCAATAGCGAGTCCGGTTTTAATGTAACGTTACACGATCAGGAAGATCAAAACAAAACGTTCGTTTTTCAAGAATCGCTTATTTCTCAAAAACTTGCATAAGAAACCATCTTTTGCGCTCTAACAAAAAAAATTCATCGAGTGATTTTACTATTACTTTTCTAAAATCTAGCCCCATTATGAACCTAACTTAAACGAATTTAAAGATTTTTAAACATTGTCACGTGAAAGTGAAAATTTGACGGAAAATTTTTTATAGGTGACTGGTCACCCGGACGGGGTCATCACTGTAACACTCATAACACCCAATCAAATTGATTGATCAGATATGCTGTAGATCATATGATATTTATTACGTTATTTTTTGTTCAATTAGGAAAAACAACATCGGGTTATGACATAATGATAATGTCAAAATTTTATTTATAACAATAACCCTTTTTTTTTCTCTTGCTTATAACCAAAAAAAAATTTTTTAAATTATATTTTCGAAAAACGTTTTTTAAGGTATATGTCGTCAAATAATAGCTTTTGCACTATGATGAATAAATATTCAAGGGAAGCTAGTTAAGATATTCAAACTGGATAATTAAATCATCTGGGAAAAGTATCCTTGGAATATGTTCAATGTGCTCTGTTGCCTGCGGACGCTTGTTATTGAGGACCTCTTAGTTTATTGGAGAAATTAAGAGAGAGATAACATTGTTGATGTGGGAGAGTTACACATGCTTAATTAGCGTGGCTTAATTAGCATATTTAGCTTACCTAGCTTGAACATATTTATGACGCCCCAGCTAGTTATACTATGCTGGTCTGTTGTTCGCGGGTACTTTATAACAGTAATGTCGTCTTACAGGTGGTTATATGATTCTAGTTTTAAAAATAATATCATGCTAGCTAGTTGGTTATGAATATTCTGAGTGCAATAATTTATTATAAAAAAAAACTATTTATTTGATAAATATACTAATATTTAGTTTTTTTTTTTTTTTATAGAGAATAATTATGCTTAATCGAATCTCCTTCCTAGTTACAACAGAATCTATATATATACGTATTTTTTTTGTTTGTATTGTATTTTTTTTGTATTATACTAATTTATGTTTTTTTTTATAATTTTTATTTTAGTGTCTTTTCTTCTCTGTTGTCAACGTTGTGGATACTTCATTCTAGATGATGCTATTTCTTGGAGTTGTTATAGGTCGATGCGATTGTTATTAAAGCAAAAAATTCTGTTCGCAATTCCATTGTTTTGTCGTGTTGACTAAAGATATTTGAGTCGAAAAACGCCGTCATTACGTCATATCAAACGAAGAATAACCTCCTTATTTTCTATTACGGAGAATAAACAAGTAAATCTCAATTAACCGGCCCTTGCCTACGCGAGAAATAAATAGCACATGGATACTGGACATTTATATATCCAGTAAAACTCATCGGACATAGGAAGCTGGTCATTTATGATCATCACATGAGGGTGAATTCGCTTTTATATAATAAAATCAAAATTTTAAATTTAACATTTGGAGTTCAATAATCCTCTTATAGGTTTTTCGTAATGGACTCTGAATGATTACTATATTCAACCAGATTTATAATTTATATTTGTTTATCCACATACGCTCTCTCACATGATTGAAATGATTGGTAAAAATGTAGTGATGGACGTTAATTTTATTATAAGAGTGATATATTATATAACAGTAGTTAAATCACCACCCTAATTAATGTCGCTGGCCATTCAGATTTCAAGAGCACGTGTAACTCAAAAAATCAAAACAACAAAAAAACGCTTGCGTATTAACAAAAAATTTTCTTCGTGGTAACCTATACCAAACATTAATCTACTGGTGGGACCTTGATTTTTTAATAAGATCACGTATTCAGCGAAATTTTTTAGGATGACTTATAAGATATATATGTATTTTTTGGTTAATTTTAATTTAAATTTAATGTAAACTTTTTTTTATAATTAATTTATTAAATTATAAGCTAAAGAAATGATACCACAATAATAAATAGCAACTTTACAGTGAATAAGTTTTGATCCACTGGTCCCTTTTAGATAATTTTTCTACCCAGATGATTACTTTGATTCTAGAATCCAATCTCAGGATTTCAAAATTGGATTCATTGCAAAAATCAGCTGATATGGAATTATCTATTGCGGTTAGCTTTGTGAAATTTGCATATTAATCGACTGACTTCTGATTTCTGTGATAAAATATATATTTGCTAATCTTGATAAATAATCTTATATGTATTACAAAGAATATAACAATGAGAGTTTATTTTTAATTGACTATTATTTTTTTCTAGTACCCATGGGTATTGGAATATTTATTGTAACAAAAGAATTCATCTGGTTGATTATTAATTCTTATAATAAGATTCCATATATTTATCATGGTTTTTACTATATATATGTCGTAAGTGGGAATGGAATTTAAGTGGAATTTTCTAGTTAAATTAGGGTTAAAGATAGGGTGTTTATATGATAAAATCAACCTCAAAATGCGAGTTTTATATAAAAATTTTGAATTCACTTAAATTCCGTTTCCACTTACAATATATATAAAAGTTATTAACAAATCTGATTATATTAGATTAAATTTTGTAGAAATAAAATTGAATAAAAAATTGTTATAAAATTTGTAATTTTGTTATTTGCAAATAATAAATTTACATAGTGAATAGATAACGAACTAAAGAATTTTTATTGCTTGTATTTTTGTATATATAGGATGTTAAATACAGGGTGTTAATGAAGATTTAAGAATTGATGACCAATCAGATGGTGCGTGATGTAAAATGGATCAATACTAGTACTAACTCAAATTTACAATTTGGAGGTTCGGTATGAGACAAGGGGACAGTTACTTTAAATCAATTGATTATTTATTATGGTGTCACCCATATTATATTTTAGCGAGTTTACAAATAAGGCATTATTCAAGTCCATGGTTTGGTTGTTATGTAAGCATAGATAAATGTAGCTATTAAGTACATAAAAAATGTAACGATCAATTATAAATTAGTAATTATAATTGTATAACCGAGAAAAGAATTTTTTAAAATTAATAAATTTCATTTTCTCTATATAAAATTGCTTATTGTTATAACAAACCACTATGTTATCAAATAAAGCACTGCGAATTAGCATAACATTTATTAATATGGAGATAATGGTTTTGCTCTTGAGAGCTACTCTGCTGAAACTTCAGCGTCTTATAATTAATTGTGCTAGTTTAACATTCTTTTTTACACAATATTTAAGCGAAAATGATTATAGCCAGTACTTCATTTATTTTTTTATTTAATGATTGATATATAGATAACTCTAAATGCTTATAATAAAACAATCAATAATCCTATAATCGCGATTTTGTTATCGTTACAAGTAGTGATTGAACCCGTGTATACCCAGGTGGGTCAGATATCCGGGTTATGATTATGTTCACCTGGATAGGCTTGGACGGGTTGACCTGTGGGTTTGTTCACGGGTAGACCCACAGGTCACCCGTGGGCCAACCTGCAGGTCCACTCTAGAGTGTCCAGGATCATGATTCGAAATAATATTCGCATAATTAGAACAGATAAAACATCCAATTTTAATTTATAGAAATTTGCATAATCTAGCATTTTCACCTTTGAAGAAATTTCTATTGGTCAATTGGCATTACATGGAATGTCAGCATACATTATACTCTAACGCTGACCAATTTCGGGCCAAACTAGATATACTTTCAAAAATCAACAGCTCCGAATTCCAACTACATTCATGCTTATAATAAAACATTTCTAATAAAACTTCAAACCTTTAGGTTAGGGGCAGGATCTATCAAAGAAGATCTTGTATATGACATAACGATAGTATTCAAATTTTATTCTGACCCGGTAATCGTTGTGCCCGGGTAGATCTGCCTGTCTACCCGGGTGACCTGCGGGTCTACCCGTCGGGTAACCCGGATAGTACTTTTTAAGACGGGTTCAATCATCAGTTATAAGTCGAATGGTGATAGTACTTTGTGTTACAGTAGTTCCGTGATCACGTTTTTTTAGTCATCAATAAACTTAGACCCTTATATGTAATATATATATTTTTTTTAAAATTAAGCCCTCATGTCTAATTATTTTTAATTTGGGTCAGTATTTGTAATTATTTTCACTTCGAAGTAGAGGTTGGAACCGGTTTTAATAATTCGGATTTATCACTTGAATTTTGTGATATTTTAGGATTTATTAAAATTTAATTGGGTAAATTTCTAAAATATCACATAATTCACATGATAAACACGAATTCCAGCCTCTACTTCGAAGGTTGCATTCAAATAAAGATTTTGAAGGTTTGCACTTAGGAGCAAAAATGGTATCTTAGTTTCCCAACCTAAAGATTTTGCTATTTTAAGTTAATTGTTCGACTATGAGTAAATCTTTTTGAGAATTTAAATAATTCCATCATCTGTTTTGGAGTTAATACGAATAGAACTTTTTGCAGTGAATAACTTTGAATATACTGGTTCCTTTGATAATCCGATTTTAATGATAAGGTTTTGTTCAGATCGAGTGTTTTATAATTGGTTTTGCCAATTTTAAAACATTTGAAGTTAAATAAAATCTTATCGATCTTGAGATCCTAAAATTGAATTCTAAATTAAAATAATCATTTCGGTAGAAAAACTGGTTCAAAAGAAACCAATGGATCACTGTAAAAGTTATATATTAGTATTACATTCAGATAATACTGTATGCACTTGTTTCCAAATAGTGCTTAGAACTATTAAATTATTGCATACCCTTGCTAAATTTAGTATCTTTATTCATTAAAAGTTTTTGGTTACTCTGTTTAGCTTTTTTTTTTATTAGTACAGTATTATTTCTTATACTTTATATTTAATAATTTTAATAATAGAAAAACTTTACATTAAAATTTAAATTTAAAAAAACGTATATAGATTTATATATGCATGTATGTAAAACATGGATCATATCCAATATAAACTTAATCATTAGGGCGATTTTTTACATTACCCTAAATCTATGACGTAGTTACGATAAATGTTTAACGCGAGTCAAACCATTTGATCATAAATATATTTATAAGAAGGAATGAATTTTAACGGAAAAAAAGAAACTTTAATGGCTTTATTGATTTTAGGGTTCAGTTTAATAGATGAGTCATACGGTTGACGTATATGTCATGTAATAATCAAATAGTAATTCGGGGTTTTTAATTTTGGCCCAATTCCAAAAATGCGCCCGAAAGTTTCATATAAAATTTCTATCTTATTAAGTATAGAGGTTGGATCCGGATACTTTTATAATCATCCGTTGATATTTTTTATAAATACGGATATCCGAACTTTTTAAAATTTTAGATTCGGATACTATCCGGATAGTATTCGGATATTTATATATTATAATAAAGTATATAGATATTGTTCTTAAAGCTTAATATATTTATTTTAAATGTTTGATATTTAAGTAAAAAAATACATATAATCTTAATTAAATAGATTTTAAATAGTCATATTCTTGTAATTTTCATTGTCTTTAAAATATTTTATAATTTGATGAACCATTACTGCAATTATTGCAGTAATTAGTACGATTGTGATGAGTAGCATCTCTCTTTCTGAGAGATAGAGGTTTAAGAGATTAAAGTTTAAGAGTTCAAGAAACATCTTGGATATTTTTTTAAAAAAACATTTTTTTTGCATTTTAGAAGCTTATATAGCAGTTTTATCACGCATTTAGCTACCTCAGTAGGAATGTGAAGGTGCACAAATTAGATCTTAATATCAATAAGGTTTCAATAAACATTAAACCTTAAGTTCTTTATGAGAGGCATGACCTTATCGAAAAAAGAAAACAATTGTCAGATTCACCCAATTGACTACTTTTGTGAAGCCAAATCAGATTTTTAATTTGTTTTATATGATTCGTGTATTTAATTTAAATATTTGGTTTATAAGACTCGTGTACTTATTCAACCATTCGTTTATATATAACGATAACATAAATTATATGGTTACAAATTTGATATCGTTTTTCAAACAATGGCCTTTTCTTTTTCATGATTATATTAGTGAAACCAAGGAATGTTATGCTAAGTTCGATCACCTGAGATATTTAAGGATTTGATCAGTTTATATCAACAGATTTTGGTTAAGTCACGTAGAAAAGTTGACTTTAAAAGTTTTTAAGTTAGAATACGTATTTGTAAATCAATAAAAGCATGATAACAAGTGAGTTGTCGTTATATTAATAGTATTTATAAGCTTAGTATTTATAAGGCTAGTAGTTTATATAAATCTAGTATTAAGTCTAGTATCACCAGTTTACACTTGTTACTAAAATATCAGATGTTCAAAACAAGTGATACTATTTGTCTAATATTATAAAAACATCTTATGCTATGACAATTACTTTTGTACAAGAGGTGTGTGTACCAAAACCAGTTGATATCTCAGAATTTCAATTATGAAACCACCTTTTGGCTTCTAACAAAAAAAATTCTTTACGAAATTTTGGTATAAATTATATCTCACTCCAATTCCAAACCATACTTAAGTAAGGGTTTAATTTTCGGTTGTAAAAATTGTTATTATTGACATATTACACGAATTTTAAATTACAGAATTAATAAAATGAATACCGTAAATTTTCTTATGCTAATGTGTAAAAGGCAGTTTCATAGGCAATATTTTAAATTACATGCGTGTTTTTGTTATTTTGGTGTTTCTTTCATTACACATGATTTGAATTCTGTTCCTATTTAGGAAAATAATGATTGTGTAAGATAGAAATCGTTCTAACTTTCTTAAATTTAAGGTTTCGAAAGCTTGATCGATTGATCGAAAATCATTTTTATCATTTTTGATAATTGGATAATTTTATTGTGATGAATTTAACTCATTGTTAAACAAATCTTGATTCTTTGTAATACACACGTATAGATTATTTATTAAGATCTGCAAATATACTATTTTATAAAGTCTTATGTAACAGTCAGTCAATTAATCGCAATAGATAATCTTGGATCCTGAGATTGGATTCTGGACTTATTGGAATCAAAGTAATCATTTGGATAAGAAAATTATCTAAAAGGGACCAGTGGATCAAAGGTTATTCACTGTAAAGTTATATATTAGTATTACTTCGAATAATATACACTTGTTTCTAAATTTAGTATCTTTTATTTTTTACAAATTTTTGGACTCGGTTTGGCTTTTTTTTTTGATACATTAAAGTTTTGAATTTATTATTCTTATCATTTCTTTTTACCTTATATTTAATAAATTAATTATAGAAAAAAGTTTACATTAAATTTTAAAAATTAAATCGCATATATAATTATATATGCATGTACATATGTAATATATGATTTAAACTTAGTTGTACAAAAGAACCGTTAACTTAATTTATATCTTAAAATGTAGTGGATGTCATATATTAGTAAATGGCTTTGCCTTTACATTCATATATTCAGATTTTGTTATCGAGAACTATTTGCTCTCAGAGTTATCGGATAGAAGATTGTTAAGAAACCTCGATATGTTTGGGTTTAAGTTGTGTTTTTTTAAAAGTATAAAATATTTATTGATGAAGTTTGTTTATACTTGCATCATTTCTATAAATGTGTTAATTATAATTTCTCCGACATTTTCTGTTGATGTTCAAAATGTTGAAGAATTTTAATACAAATTTTATAATTTACTTGAAATTCTGGATCAATCAATTCATTAAAGCATTAGGATGCTATATTTGTGAGAATACATCTTCAAGAACTTCTTGTATTACAAGATCACCAAAATCTTTGCAGATTTTGTGTTTTTTGCCTTTTTTAGAATCTAGAGCTTCCCAGGGATATGACGATATTTTTCACTAAGTATACCTTTCTTCTACTTATAATAAAAGTTGTAAAGAGAATTTTTGTGGTTAAATAATTAAAATCGGCCCTGTCGATTACAAGATATGAATGTTTTTTGTCTTCACGACCATATGTTTACCTCTTGTTTATACAAATGTAGTCATGATGACAAAAAACATTCATATCTCGTGATCCACCGGACCGATTTTAATTATTTAATCACCATTATGACAAAAATTCTCTTCTCTGCAACTTTTAATATAAGTGGAAGAGAGGTATAGTGAGTAAAAAAAACCATGTATCCTTGAGAAGTTATAGATTCTAAAAAAGGAAAACCCACATAGTAAAAATATCTCCAAGGTTTACTATGCTTTTTTGCTGGTTCCCTAGTGAATCACGAATTAATACTTGTAAAAAAAACATTATAATGAATAAAGTTTAATGTAAAAAAAAAAACTTTTAAAAAAAATTATTGTTACAAGATTGATTAGTTCATTACAAAGCGAATTGACTATTCAAAGAACGGGATCTATTTATTTCACATCATCATTGATAATTGATTTATAGACAAGCTTTTTTACCGACAATAAATTTATAAATAAATTCATTTCACAGAAAGTTTATTTCACCGACAAAGCAATTCTGGTTATTGTAGAGTTAAGATTAGTGAAATTTATATTAAATACTTGTCTGTGAAATAAACTGTCTGAAATGAACTTGCCTGTAAATAGGTTTGTCCGTCGGTGAACTAAGTTGTGAAATGACATGATCTTCAAAAGACACATATAATTTACAAAATCAATATTCCACGCTACGGGCATGGCATCATCATCAAATTTTTTTAATCAGAAATGTTACTGGCATAGGACCGTGAAATATCTACAGTATTACATACTTCAGAAATCACTAATATTAATATCATATTGTCGCGAGATAACGCCCCAGTAATTATTTCACTCAAATACGGTAGATAAATAATATTAATTATCACTAGTTTAGTTATAGAGCATCGAACATTTTCTACATTAACATAAGAATAAGACTTTACCCAGTAGCACCAAATCTCCCAGCGAATAATCCATCTTTATAAGGTTTATTATTATATTGACCAAGGCTTTTCAGTAATACTAATCAATTGTCCTACAGACAACTCACGTTATAGTCACATCTTCAGCCGAAATTTTACATGAATATAGTGAGAGATACATAGTAATAGTCATATTGTGTGATTATAGTGATGATTGGTATATATCATTAAACATCGTGACTATTGCGGGTGTGACTGTTGCGGGAGTTGACTGTATAGCTTCGTTTTGATACAATCAACATTCTCTTTTTTTTTGAATTCGATTGCATCATAATTTAGGGCGATATACTGTATAACTTCTTTGTGATACAATCTAACGCTCTCCTTTTTTTGAATTCGATTACATCATATTTTAGGGCGAAATGATTGTCAGAAAAGTGAGTGCATACATTTTGTCATGCACCATACCTCATACCACCATGCTTTAAAAGTTAACCATGCACCATACTTCAAAGTTAACCTTAATTTTGCAAAAAAAAAGCAAAAAACCAATAAGATTAAGAATTTTTCTTTGTATTTGTCTATTTCAGTATTTAGGCATCCAATTTATTTATTGCTCTGATTAGAACATACAGTGTGTGATATATGTGATACATTGTTGTTATGTATCGTATCCTATATCAAACCTCATAGGAAGACTTTCGTATGATTGACTGTTTAAATCAATTTAAGTTTACATTATTTATACAGTTTAAAGTACTTTTAAAAAAAAATTAAACCTACAAAGAATAAACCAAAAAGAAGCGTATAAAAAGTTTTATTAGGGTTATAGAACTCCACTATTAAAAACAATCAATATCCCTTTAGAAGTTAGCATGATAACGACTTCTTAAAGATAGATATAGTTAGGTCATTACCATTCTAACTTCTCTAAAACAAAAAAGGATTTTGATTATTTTAATAGTGGAGTCCTGCAACCCTAATAAAACTTTCTATATACTTATTTTTTTGTTTATATTCGTAGTTTTATATTTTTTTAAAAAAAGTACTTTAAACAGTATAAATAATGTAAAATTAAATTGCCAATCATACGAAAGCCTTCCTATGAATATCAAACAAAGTTAGTAACTTTAATGATGCTGTTAATAAACAAAAGAAGCACAAGCAATCCATTCTTTCCGAATTTGTCATCAAACAAAAAAATCTGAAATAATATTCAAATGTTTATTTATTTATTCAAATAGAGTAATGAATTCGACGGACAAAATAATGATGACAATGAAATAAAAAAGTTAATAATAAAGCTGATAAAGATAATCCGTGAAAGAAATGAATGGTTGAATCATTTAATTTATTCAATGACTTATTCATTAATGTATAAAAAAGGGTTCAGGAGGGTAAAACATATGTAACGGTTTCGGAACTTCAAAAAATCAAGTAATTTGATTGGATTCACACAGATGCTAGTACATTAAAAATAAACATTGTTTGTTTACGAATACATTTTTTCTTTTTAAAAAAATGGTTTTTACATCTGATTGATACGATATGCGCATGTACATGCATATTTCGGATCGGACCGACATACTAATTAAAAGTGTCGAAAACAAAATTTATACTTATATAGGAAGTCACACTTAATTTAAACTAAAGTTCTTAATCTTTAATCCCTATCTTCACGGACTTAGTTTATTTTCAGACCATACTTCTCTTTATAAATTCGATTATTCGATAGTCTGGCAATATTTTAATGACAGAAAGATTGGTTCACCATTGGCGTTTAAATGCATTATGTTGATCGCCATAAGACGATAAACTGTGAAAACCGTTGATATACTATATAAATCAAAATTATATGTAGTTATTATTATTATTATTATTGTTATTTATGCATATAACTAAAGACATTTGTAATTGATTGGTTATTTATTAATTTGATTGGTCGCAAAAAAAAAAAAACATGATTATTTAACAAGATTTCGTATGCAATGTTGCATACGTGACAAGTAAGATAGAATATATATATATATATTTTAGTATAATTTATATTATGTAACATTGATTTTTTTACTATGTGAAAGAAAACTGGTATCATATTGGATACTAAATATGGCGTTGTATAGTAATAGAGTGTAATTAGTATCATGTGCTGTAATGTAACACTAATGCCGAGAATGTTGATAGCACTAGTATAGTTGTTGGGTTAATTTTGTAAATTAATAATTTTTTGCTGTAATTCTTTTGTGCTGTAATGCCGTAATGTCACAATACCGCAATGTCATAATGCTGCAATGCCATAACACCATAATGTCAAAATACTGTAATGCAGTTAAATTAACCTTTAAAATAATTCCAAGTTGTAAACCTTTATCATGATTCTTGTATATAAGTTATATACATTTTGATTTAAATTTTCTGGTTCAACATCTTCTAATTGCTTTTAAAAGTGTTTGGAAGTAGTCTGTTACACTGGTTGAAGATATATTAGATCCAAGAGTTGTATTAGATTAGTCAAAAAGGTTATATATTGTTATCAGCAAACCTGCACCTTCAAGTCTTAAAAAAAGTTTAAAACAGACAAAAAGTGATGCTTTAAATCAACACTGCATAAGATCATTGTTACAATTGTTAAGTTTTCAGAATAATTATCATTGATAGACTCAAAATTGTAAAGTGATCTGTATTAACCTAATTAATAAAAATAAAGATTAAAATGAATTAATAAGTTAATATTGCCTTGTTAGAAAAATTTTGTGACTATTCTCAAGTTCAATTATGTATCTGCATAAATTTTCATAACTAAAAAATGATCTGCAGAAGATTTAAAAAAACACACATAACAAGAATTAAGAAATCTAAATACAAATCTCTTGCAATTGTTTAGATAGAAGAATTAAGAGAAGGAGTTACTTTATGGTTTATACTAGTTAATAATAACAAACTAGTAAAAGTAACAGAAGATGAAGAAAACTATGACGTGAGACAAAAGCAAAGTTAGTATATAGCAAAGTTAACAAAACTATCAAGCAATGCTTTAGAAGTTCTATTATTATACTATCTAAGAAACAAAGATACAAAATCAGTTTATATTCTGCTAAACAAAAATAGAAATTAAAAAAACAGCAATAATTATATTTGCAACAAAAAAAAAACAAAAACAGCCTAATCAAGACTAATTTGATATAACAACTTTTAAGTATCATAATTAAATAAAAGGAAAACAGAAACTAAAAAGAAAGAAAACTTCAAAGAAAGAAAAGAAAAAAGCTAAAAAAAAACTTGCTAAAACCCAAACAAAAAATATACAGAAATAAAAAGTGATTCACAAATACAAGACATAATAGAATAGTTAGAAGATAGAAATACTATTACAAAAAAAAAAAGTTAAAACAGAACTAGTTAGATCCCAAATAAAAAATATAAAAAAATAAAAAACAACTCTCAGATACAGAATATAGAAGAATAGTTAGAAGATAGAAATATTAACACAGAAAGAGATAAAGAAAACATAACAAAAAGAAAGATTAAGTCAGATATACAAATGTAATTAAAAACAAGACAGGTAAAAAATATTTTAAGCCAAATCTTGAATAAACTAAACTAATTAGAAGACATATAGCTAGGTATAAAAAAAGGCCTGGCTTATTGCTCCTAAAGGTGCACTAGTTGAACCTATGAATACAGATAAGAAGGTTAGAAATTTTTGCAAAGAGAAAGAAGAATGTTTGAAGAAAAAAAAATAAATACCTTCTAGTCTGAAAAAAGAGAAGAGAAGAAAAACAAAAGAAATAATTGAAATTACAAAAATAATGTAAAAGCAGTTGAAAGAGAAGTGAAAAAAAGAAAAAAAAAATTAAAATCACATGTCACAATATTAATAAATTAAAAACCAAAGGTTGAAAACTTGAAATCTGCTCAGCTAGGCAGAAAAAGAGAAAATTACAATATTGGGAATTACAAAAATGAAGCTTGCAGAAAGAGAAAGAAAATTTTTAGTATACAAGACAACAAAAAAATATAATAAATATTAAAGTAATATAGCAAAAGATAAAAAAAGGTTCAAATATAGGAGTTCTAATAGAAGAACAGTAGACAAAACATGTAGATATAATTAAGAAGATAAATGAGTATATAATAAAAATCATATTATACTTTAAGCAATTGGAGTAAATAGTAATAAAAGTCTATATACTACCAAGTAACAAAAAAGTAAAAAAAAGCATTTAACAAAAAATAGTAAAAATTATTATAAAACAAAATAAACAAATGCAAATAGTAATTATGGAAGACTTTAATCATATAATAAATAATGTTTTAGATAAACAAAACCTACAAGCTGCAAGCTACAAAAGACTGCTAATATTTAGTTAGATAAAAAGACTAGACTTTTATAACAGATATAGATAAATGAGTATATAATAAAAATCATATTATACTTTAAGCAATTGGAGTAAATAGTAATAAAAGTCTATATACTACCAAGTAACAAAAAAGTAAAAAAAAGCATTTAACAAAAAATAGTAAAAATTATTATAAAACAAAATAAACAAATGCAAATAGTAATTATGGAAGACTTTAATCATATAATAAATAATGTTTTAGATAAACAAAACCTACAAGCTGCAAGCTACAAAAGACTGCTAATATTTAGTTAGATAAAAAGACTAGACTTTTATAACAGATATAGAGAAATGTATGCATCTAACTAAACAAAGATACACATAGTCAAATTTAGAAATAATAATAAGGATTAACTATATATAGGTATCAAAAAGACTAGCTTTAGGTCTACAAAGTGCAAAAATCAAGAACATAGAAGAAATTACTAAAAGTGATCACAAGATAATAATAACAGAAATATGAGTAAAATATATAATAATAAAAAGCAACAAAACAGAAATCAAAAAAGCCAATTAAAAACAATATATCTTTATGACAAGACAAAAAAAAATTATATACAAAAGTTACAAAAATAATTAGAGATAAAAGAAGCTTTGAAAAATATACAAAAAGAAGAACAAAGAGAAGAAAAAAAAATACAAAAAATTAACAATATATAAGATATGATAGAAGAAATAATTATAACAGCAGCAAACAAATATATATTTAAGAAAAAGTTTACAATACAATAATGAATAGAAGGCATAGTCAAAAAGATCAATAGTAAGAAAAAATTATCATAGAGTTTCAAAAACTAGTTAAATATGCAAAAACAAGAAAAGAACAAAGAGTTGCAAAAGCAGATAAAAGTGAGATAAATAGAAAACTCAAGATGTTAGGCAAGAAATATAAACTTTTATTATAATCTTTTCTAATTAATATCTAATATGTTTATAATCAATATATTTAAATTAAATATGATTTTACTAATAACCTACTTACTACTTTTATATTCATATTTAATATATATAAAGTAGCCAGAATAATACAAATGCTAAATATATTTACTCTTTATCACTTACATATAAATTACTATTATTTAAACTATTTATATTTTTGTCAATTATATAAGTAATATTTTTAATTAAAAAAAATCCAATGCAACAATCAATAACACTGATATCAATAAATTCTATATTGCCTATAGTTTTAAAAAATTGAAGACCTAAATTATCTTCAAAACTTTTCCGACTCATCAAACATATGCAAGCATATATTGTTTTCCTTCAAATTTATGAACTAAATAATATTTAACATATCCAAAAAATTCTTGAATTTGAAAGATTGAAGGCCATTTTGGGTATGCTGCATTAATATCAATTTCCATTTGAGCCTATAAAAGTAAATACATGTGATTAGTTAAGCTTGTTTTGTATAATAAAAATCTAAAAAATAAATATAGTATTGATTATATATTAGCAATATTAATTGGAGATTAAAACAAGAACCTAAAGTTATCAACCTAAAATGGTTTGTAATTATATTAGAGTTAGATTTTAGATTGGGCTAAAAACAACTTTATTACTATAAATCACCATATACAAGATTCTAGAGAATCCATCATATAGTAGAACCAAATGTAAATCATAACAATAAGATCTATATTCTTCAAATCCAGTTTTTTTTAGATATTTAGACTGCCTATTAAAAATACAAAATATGCATACTCTTTAAAGTTTTTCTTTTAATAATATGAACTCTTGACTACATACTAGACTTGAGGTCTATTCTATTAGTAAAATATAGAGACCTGGGTCTTGTTTATGATGATTTATAGTAGTATCAAAAAAATTTATAAAAAATAACTTACTCTTATGTGCAAAGACAGTTTTATAAGTAAAATACTTACTGTTACAAAATACCAAAATTTGTAAAACTCTCTTCAGACCAGAAGTAATTATCTAGCACCAAATATCATTATTATTTAAACCTGATGCAGGAGTTTATTTGGTTCTTGATTTTCAAATATATCACTTGATTGCTAATACAATTCTGATATGATAGTTGCTTTCTGTCAAACTTAAACTAGTAACCTTGAATGACCACAATACTAAAGCTCATAGGGCTATGTCTACATCTGATCTTGAAATTTGGTCAACAAAATTTTTTTTAGAACAGCAATGCTAGATAATTGTTTCTATTCTTAACATTATTTATTGTATTACTATAATATAATTAAAGTTTTTAAAAGCCAATTTTTTAAAATAGATAATTCTAACAAAGTTAGCTTATTATATTTTTTTAAGTAATGGCTTTTATGTGACAACTATTATTACTACTAATACTAGAACTTACTGCTATAGTATAATTTGTTTTGATGATATTCTTTTTTTTTTTCTTGACTATGATCCAACAAGGATACCATCCTTGGTTCTTAATCATGCATATTTTAAATCACTATTAGAAAATTCTTGGATATAAATTTAAATTGTTATTAATTTAATATACATTATAAAAGAATTAATAAATATAGTAATTACCTTAGTTGTTACTTTTATATAATTAATTGTTTTATAATGTTGTTTTAATTTTTTAATTTCAGTTTAATTTAAAATATAATAAGTGCATAGAAAATATAATTCTTCTTGATAATTTTTACTTGTAAATACAATATTAATTCCATGCTTCTTTTTAGTAGTTCATCATAAAAAAACTTGATTATAAATATTTGGGAAAAAAATAAGATGATTAAAACATTCTTGTATAGCAATTTTATTGATTAAATTTTGATATAGATGTAATCATAATTGAACTAATAGAAGAAGCATTCTATATAATCTCTTAATAGGAAATTGCTATGTAGCCCAACATGGTCCAGTTGCTTGAATACTGTCAGTGATATGCAATAAATAATGGAAACAAATTTTCATAGTTGATAATTGAGCCTCTTCTTTTTTATAATAATGTCTAACAAAAAGTTGATTTTTTAGTTTAATACAAATTAGAACCAATTAAGCTATTATATACTACAGTCATACTTCTATACATATAAATACCTCATATATAAGCACATTAATTTTTTGAACCCACTACTATTAAATATATAAAATAGTTTTCTATATAAGGCATTTTATATATAAGAACAATTTTGTAGGTCCTGATAGTGTAATTATATAGGAGTGCAACTGTATATTACCTTTCATAATGCTTATAAAAGTTCAGAAGTAATTGATAAATTTCTAATATATTGATATCAGAAATTATATGTTTTTGGCATAGTTTAACTGCTTGAACATATTTGGACCATTCAAGAAGAAATTGTACTAGTAAATAATTTTTTAATAAGGACAAAGAATGTAAAGTTATCCAATTAGGCCATTCTTCAGCCTTATATCCATCTTGATGTGTGACTATATTTCTTGGTAAACATCCAAATCTGAAGGCATAATCTTTTTTGATTCAGTTATTAAATTCCTAATATCTTTCTAGACATTTTTTTGTAATGTATATTTATTATCATTTAGAGCATCATTCAGATGAAAGCATCCATACCAATGTTGAAACATGTATTTTGGAATATTCTCATAGTGTAGATGCATAATATCAATTGCAAAAGAATCAGAAAATTTTATAAAATGTAATTCAAACAGAATACTACATTTGGTAATTCCTTTATTATGAATAAGAATTTAAATTCAAATATAAATATAAATATAAATATAAGCACAGTTATACTTCCATATTATCACACCATTGAAACTAACAAAAAGTAGTTTTATATATATTTAATAATAGTTGTTCAGAAAATTAATGTATTATATAAGTGCTTATATGAGAGTATGATTATACAAATATACTTGCATGTATATAAAATATTACTAAGTTGTGATTCTAATTTTTTTTTGATTTTTTTTAGATAATGCATTAGCATTCCTAATTTTTGAATTTGCTGAAGGTATTTACTATATGTTTTTCATAGTAAATTTGCTGGATCATAGATAGTTCTCTTTTTTTTTTTTAGTAGAATAGTTGGATAATAAATATGATTAAAATAAACACCTTGCAATTTACAATATTAACAGCCTTGATACAAATTATGTCTAGTAGTACACATAAGTTTAGTTAAAGCTGGTGTGTCACCTGACCAAGAAATAATAAAGGCATGAAGAATAAAATTTCTTGGTTCTTTAATCTATCATGACATACAACTCTATCTAAAAATATAAGTTATTTTAGTTTAATGATAATTTACTTTTAAGTAAGTATAATATTACCTTCTAATTTCTTTAGTTTATCAACAACTGATCTTAAAAATGTATTTAAATTTTTAGGTTCATTGGAACCAGGAATTATGGCAGTTATCAAGAGATTTTGTTATTTTACATAATTTTTGGAAGGAATATTTGCATTTAAAAATAATATAATCCAACAATCATCAGTTTTCTGACAAAATATTTGATATCCATTAAGAGATTCAACTAATGCAATGTCTAATAATCAGAAAAATATTCATTTTCTACTAAATCTTTATATCATTTACCATTAAATATATTACTATATTTATTTTTATTATATTTAAGGTGTGTTGTATAATTATATCAATATTGCAGCTTTTTTGATTAGATAGAATCAGCATATTAAAGTATAAACCAATCTTTAAGTGAAAAAAATGCTATTTTTTTTCAACTATTTCCATTTTCATAATGTGACTTACCACAATAATAATATAATTTCACTTTTCTAAACTCATCTGTAAAGGTCATACAACTCTTTATACATATGTCAATTCAGCTGGGCTCAATCTGAACTATACTAGTAAGTATTTTTGTTACTTGGTATTGGCTAATTTGTTTATTACTAAATTCTGTCATTACTTGTTGATAAACATTATTAGCCATATTTGACTGAACTTTGATATCTAGTAATCATAATGCTTCTGAATATCCTAGTAGAAGTTGATTTTTTAAAATATATAATTAGTGTAAAATAGATATTAATTATTTGCTCAAAACAAAATCCTAATTTACATACAATTATCATTAAACTCTGTATTAGATATCATATCATCAATAGAGGTTGTATCATCAGTCAAAGTCATAATACCCTAGCTATGGCGAAAACGAGGTGTCGGGTCATGTGATTTATGGCCCCTATCCGACCCAACACCTTTTACCAACATTTGTAGATTCTTGCTGCACCAATCAAAATGCACAAGACTCGGAAAAAATTTTTTTTCTTAAGTGAACAAGACAACGAATACATACCTTTACCATGTTCAATTAAGACCCATTAACTGTTCGTAAATTGAAATGTTAGTTAATTGCTCGGTAAGTTTAGAGTAAAATTACTGAATGTTTTGTAGTAAAAATTATGTACATTTACTTATTCTTCGTTTCAAACTTTTATCTTCTAAAATTAACATGGTTAAATTATTTAGCGTTTTGCATAGTATCTTAAATGTTTTTGGGCTTTTAAATCGATATATTTATTAATCCTTATTATTATTATTATTTTAATAAAATATGTATACACAGTATTAAAAAAAAAAATTTGAAGCGATAAAGGATCTGAAGGGTTTAACTATGATTTTTTTAATAATGGAAGGTTTCAATTATGATTTTTAAATAATGAAAAAATAATATTTAGATGTTAGAAGTTAGAAATTAATAAAGAAAAGTTTTTTAATTACAAATTTATTCTTCTGAACAAGGATCAACATAACCAAAATGCAAGTTTTCCATTCTTCTTCCAAGTTCTTTGTTGACTATGAGCTTGTAGTATGTTTTGACATTCATCAATTTCTTTAACTAATGGCTTCATCAAGTTATCAAAGGCATCTATGAAGTTCTTATTATCTATTTCTCATTCATATAATGCTAACATCATATCCATTACCTTTTTATATTTAGATAGATTTTTCTGCCTTTCTTCAATAACATTGTGCTCTACTGTTACTGATACATTTTTGAGATGAATAATATTATGACATTCTTCATTAGTAGAATTATTTATTGCAGTCATCTTATATCTAGTCCAAGGGTTGTTTATTGGATTAACTGTTATTACTTTGTTTTTTTCAAAAACAATTAAAGGACTATCATGTCTACGGGTTATCTTCGCGAAAGTAGGCCAAAATTGTATGCCATTCATTTTGGTTACTAGATGTTTACATAAGAAGTAACAGTTGCGTAAGTATGCAGGACACGAACATACCCAGTCATTAGTATCAATATGATAAACTTCATCCATGTCTTGTTGAACTTCTGCAATTGCTGCTTTGTTCCAATCCCATTTGAAACCATTCCACCATGCTGGAAAAGATCTATTGCAATCAAATTGATCTAATTTGAGTTCAAAATTAGGTAATAGATGCTCTACGAGGATTTGGGTAAGATGATCAAGCCGTGGTCAGTTATAATTATGCTTATAATTATATTTAAGAACTCGCCAATGGCTTTCCATAATCATTGTAGTTCATGCTAGTGGTATGGCTAATGGGTATGCTAAATAGGCAAAAAGATTCCAATCTTTTTTGTTGTACCAATTCACCCACAGGTAACCCCAAAATTTATCAAGTTTTCTATTATAGCAAAATTTATAAGCTTCTTTTACACAGTTATGGTAAATAGTGGCAGAATTCCAAAATGTATCTTTGGCTACTGGTATAAGAGGGTGCATATTCGCATGTCTTTTTATCATTTCTAAAAATTCTTTAACAGAATCTTCTGGGCATAAAACTCCTGCATTCGTATTTGGTATCCAGTTAGGATCAACAAATTCAAACTGCTGATGGGCTTCAACAGCTTTTGCCTTAGTATAACCAATTGCTCTTGATTTTTTATTCTTCAGGCATTTGTTTATAGCATGTTCAAGATGCCAGCAACATAATTGAATAATGATAATCCATGACCATGCTTCACTTATTGCTGAAATCTCTCTGGCATCTTTATCAACAAGAGCAAATATTGGAAACAGACCAACTTGCTGAAGGTTGTTAAAAAATTCATGCAAAACTTGCATCTTTGTGTTAATTTTATTTTTGGGATCATAGAGTGCTGATTCATTACTATCAAGCATTAATATATAAAGATATGCTAAAGGAACACCATATTCACCATGATTAGCATTTACAATAAAGAGTTCAAAACGCTCTTGGTTTGTTTTGAACATTGAATCTACAACAATTTCATTTATATTTACAATGCCAATATGATTGAGCAATGGTGTTATAAACCCAAGAGCTCTTATAAAGTTATTTTCTAGATAGTAAATTATTTTGTATCCTTTTGCTATGAACTTTGGTTGTTCAAGATATGCCTTTATTGATAAAACTTGATTTGCATGATTCATAACATAAGTTTCCTAACTACAAAAAAGAAACTCAGTAATATACCTGCTCCTTAGTGTGAACCTGAGGGTCAATTTGCCCTTCGTCACAAAGGCATTTATATATTTCAGGATTTCGCAAATTATATTTAATATTTGTTTTAATCCACTCTCTTGCTTTTGCAGGAAATTGAATTTTTCTATAGTTTGGATTCGGGTGCTGTACTAAGTGCTTTCCTTGGACTAAGATATGCTGTTGTTTTGGATCAATTATAAATGAAATATTCCCTTCACAAGTATATCTATCTATTGGTGCTCATGCTTCGCTTTTTCGTTTTACTGGCTGATCTTCGGGCCTCTGCCATTGACGATCTTCTCGTTGTGTACAACTAAGATAAACTGTTGCACATCCAGTAAATGTTTCCTTACTGTGATTTAGATATACTTTGTGTATCTCCTAGTAATAATTAGATCCAGACTCGATAGCAATGGTTATTATTTTTGAAAGTTGATAGAATTTGTCTTTTACTTCTTCTAAATTAAGTAATTCTGATTCGAGATCGCAGGTAACGTATTCTGCAAGTTGTGTATTCAGTTCGATTTCAAATGTGAATTTTACAGGTTCATTATCATTTTCTAAATTTTGAAATATTGCACTAATCTGCTCTTCTATTTCATCAATACTATATATAAATCCATCGTTATCATTGTCATAGCGGTTATTTTCATTACTCACCTGAGATGCATTTTCTTCCACCCAGAACGGCTTAGAATCTTCAAGATTGTTATCATCAAAATTAGTGCTTGAAATGTTACTTGTGGCCTCAGTGCGAAAACTGGTTTTCAACAGTTTCGCTTTTTTTACTGAAATTGGATCTAGATTTATTTTTTGTTTATTATTCTTATGCCTCTTAGAGCATCTATTGCAGGTATCATATTCTTCATTTTTACAGATGAAATCGGTTATCTTTTTTGTGGTATGACAGCCATTACACATTTTAGACTTAGAAATTGGAGTTGAATCTGTTAGGAAATAAAGATAAGTATTTCTTTATTATAGTGAATCATACTATCAAGTGTTAGTGAAGCTAAAAAATGAAACCTTCACAGATTTTTTCGCTCATTTTGCACCTGTCACTTGGGTGAGTTTTTTTTTTGGTCAAATTTTGCAATTAAAAAATCAAGAACTTATTATATTGTCACAGATTGGATGGGCGAGTTCAGAGATAGGCGAATGTGACGAATTGTCACTTGAAAGTTGAGTATGCCACGTAATGTTCCTCAAAGATAACAGAGGCAGTTTTACAATTTGGCACAAGGTCAAGGCGATCGTTTAAGGAATGTTACAAGATGAATACTACGATTCTTAAAGAGCAGTATAGTATTGGTGGTTCAAGGGGACTTTATTAATGATTTTATTATTTTGTAGAGGCAATACAACTATATTACTATACGACTCTAAACTAAAGACTTCAACTGAACTACCCTTTTAGAGGGGGAAAATTCCACCCTTTTTATAACAAATTGGCCATGAGAAGAGTACGTACAAGACCACGACTCTTCTCATTGTTCTCATCGAATTCCAACCTTATTTGTTCTAACCTTTAGCCCCTTTTTCACACAGCCTTTCATTACTTTAACATTTCTTATGTTCGTCATAGAACCGATAAGAATGTTTCAGTACCGGTCATCTTGGGGCAAGAACCCAACATATTTCTACAATCGCATCCCCCTTGACATTGCCTCACACTTAACCTAAGTAGGGTAAAGTGGTGTCAACGTCCATTCCCAGCTGTAGTGGTGCGAACAGGTTGGTCAAGATCGACCTTTCTTTAATTGGAGGGTGTGATGGGGTCCCACATTGAGGCTTGTATGCTTTCTTATGTCTTTCTTGGGGTCCGGGTGCACATGTTTCAAGTGAATCATCATGGGCACTACTAATTAGGTAAGTATACCTCAATGACGATCATTTTGCAGGTTCTATGGGGTGTTGGTTTTACTTCTGACAATATTGATGTGCTAATTTTAAACTTTAAGAAGAAATATATTGTTGCTTTAACTAAATGGCACAACTTTTAAGAATATACAGTTTGCCTTTGTTATAACATAGTGATTAAGGCGAGAAATTATGTCTGTTATAATGAATATTCGCTATAGCATTATAAAGTATTATAACAAAAATCTGAAATTGTTCTGGAAAATTATTGTTATAGCAAGGTACCCGATATAATGGAGCCTGTTATGATGATGGTAGGCTGTAACAAGTCTTTTGAACACAACTTCATCAAGGGACCTCCTTTTATCTAATTTCCATTTCTCATAATTTGACTATTACTACTTTATTATACCTTAATTCTATTTTTTTTTTTTTACACTTTTTATTACACTTCTCAATTCTAATCCCACCACGTTCTTAATTCAACAAATTCCACTACGGTTCTTAATTCTATCATATTCTTAATTATATATCAGTTTTACCATATTCTTAATTATATACTAGTTTCACCATGTTCTTAATTACATACCATTATTATATGGATTGGAATCGTCTAAAGTTTTCTTAACTATTCAATCATTTAGTCGCATAAACCGTTTAATTTAGCCAAATAATCCTAACTTTTGAAAAAAAATTTATGTGATTAAATGGTTCCAATTCTTATACGTATTATATTATTAAATTATTAATTTTATTTCAATGAACATTATAATTTTTGTGTACAGGTGAGTATATAACATTAATACTAAAATTTTGATGCTAGTGGTGTTTGGTTTTGCTTATTTATTGGAATGAACTCTATGTATTGATTCCATCAAATTACTGTACAAAATAATTTTAAACAAGAATGGTGGTTTTACAATGGTTCAATATATGGCATTTCTACATAATTCAATATAGATTACAATTTTTAAAAAAAGATCATTGTTGAATCTTATTAAATTTTGAAATGTGTAAAATGTTATAATAAATATTAATTTAGTATACATGCAAGTCATTTTATATAATAGAAAGAAAAGTTTAACATGTAGCAAATTCGTTGTTCAGGTGCTCTTTTAATGAATAATTTTGATTGGCTATAGCGAATGTTGGGGTAGAAGTCAGGTCGGAGGTCACATGATCCGACACCTCGTTTTCGCTATGGCTAGGGTACTTTCAAAGTCACATTGTCAGTTGAGGTTGCATTGTCAATCAAGATTGCATTGTCAATCGAGGTTGCATTAAAAAATATTGTATCTTCAACTTGAACATTATTGAATAATTCTGGATCTTGTCTATTATTAAAGATAAATTAGTGCTAAAAATAGTATTTATATTTTTGAAAATTAATAACTTCAAAAATATATATATACCCTTTATATAAATCAATATTAGTAGCTTCTTGATGCTTGCTAAAATTAGCCTTTCTTCAAGTATTTTGGATTTTAATTCTTTTTTTTTAATAAATTATCTTTTAATTTATGCCAGAATCAAGTTGTTTTATATGTCAATTTGTAGCCACTAGGGCTAAGCTGACAAATTCTGCAAGTACATTTTACTACTTTCTTGTCTTTGTTATGTATTTTTTTTTTTTGTTTGAAATTCGAAAATTAATATTTAAATTTTATTTTGTAAAAGCATAAGTATATTGATTATGCTAATAAGTGTATATTAAATAATACTGATTACAAATGTGATCTAAACCTCACTAAAGATAAATTTGATCTGATCAATGTTTAATTAATTTTGACCTTTTCCAAACATATACTCTTATATTTACTTGTTAAAAACAGATCTTATACTAATAGTCTTATCTAATTTATTATTATTATTAGAATTATGTCAAAAAATAAGGGCAAAGATAAAGCCATTAGTGATAATGATGATAATTATATTGAGAATGAAGACTTTTCAGGGCTTTCTAATATGAAAAAGCAGATCAGTACTTATTCTAATGATATAGATGCTAAAGAAAACTTTGAAGTTCTGTATTAAAAAGAACTTGAAAAAATCTATATGCTTGAAAAGCAAATAGAACAAATGCATCATAATATAAATAAGGAAAGAAGCAATAGTCAAATTCAGAACATAAATCTAATGGCAAAAAATTAAATAAAATCAACTGCCCAAAATAATAAGAAATTAGCAAACAAATTTAATATGAAGCTGGTAACTCAAGGCAATATGAAATTGGCAACAAAATATGGTACCAAGTATTCTATTAAACCTACAACTACTACTCATATGAAGTTGCCTAAGGACAATTATAAGTTAGTTGCTAAAAAATGATCAGATAATATAGACTGGTCTTCAAGTAATCCTGAACAGGTATCAATCTTAACAATTTCTTGCATATTGTATTAAATTTTCTACTACTTTTTAAATTTGATAATTTTATTATCAAGCCTATTTCTAAAGTGAAAGAATATAATTACTATAAAATTTTACAGATTTTGTATCTCAAACCAGAAGAATATTCTTCATATCTGGTAAATAATATTGCATTTATTTTAAATAATTCAACTTTAATAATTTATTTTATAGGATGCTTTAAGAAATTGTACATGCAAGATTTTAAAACATTGTAATAATGCTACATATCATTATACAGATCCAAAACTTATTGAATCTGTTATTGGAAAGGTATACAGTATTTAACAAATTTGTTAAAAATTTATTACATATACTAAGTTTACTAATTATATACTTGTTATAATTATTTAGTTTAAGAAAAATAATTAATCTTTTCTAAAAACAATTAGTAACTAGGCAATATATAAAATGTTGCAGCAGATAATTAATAATTATCATAAGTAGTTACTATAATTGAAGATGCACTAACAAAATATTTATTTATATAAGTAGTACAAACTTAGGAATGTACCAATTTAGATGATCTCTGATCCTCTATTATTAGGTTATGCAAAGTTTATTTTTTGTTTCACATAACCTGTTCCTTTTTTTTTTAATATCACTATTTTTAGCTAGATATTCTGAAATTGTCAAATAGGACTAACTGACCAGACCCAAGTTTTATATGTTATGCTATAAAAATGAAAAATTAACTTTGCATGATCCTTATGATTGATTTGCTTTTCTTTTAACATCTGTTTCTTAGTTATTTATGTCAATTAAGTTCAAATTTTATAGACAATTTATAAAAAAGACAAATAAAAAAGATGATTGAAAAACTACTGAATATTATCAGAAATATATTAACTGGAATATATCTAAAAAAAATGAACAATACTATCAAAATGAATTTAGAATTAAAAAAAATGAGCATAAGACCTTAGAAATTCTTTAAGATAGGTAAATTATAGGTCAGATAAGTTAATATAAGATATATAATGGAATCCTAGTGCTAAATATATGAAGGCATAAATGAAATGCTTGTTTTTATTTATGATTTATGGCTAACAGATTAATATTGTTAATTTATAAGCATAGTGCATCTCTGCAAATAATAATTTATTATTGTGATTATTAATACAAAATTTTGTATTAAATCTAATTAGATGAATATTTACACAAATCTGTTTAAAACAAATTAGCCATAAAAGGATCAAAGGGCAAACCAAAAATATTAGTTAAGGTATACAAAAGAAAAAAAATTTCTTTAAGCAAAGGTGTTTCAAATAACAATAACAGTAATGATGGGCATATCCTATGTAATGATGATAAGCATATCCTAAGTAATAATGATAGGCATATCCTAAGTAATGATGATAGGCATATCCTAAGTAATGACAATGAGCAGATTTTGAATCAGGATGATGAGCAAATCTTATATTATGATGATAAGCAAATCTCAAACTATAATAATGAGCCAACTTTGAATAACAACAATGTCTCTAATCCCAATCAAGATGACCAAGAACAAAAAAATAGAAGTTCAGAAAATAAATGCCAAGTTGTTACAAAAAATAAATAAAAATGAAATAATACTAAGTTAATCAAAAAAGAACTTAAGGATTCAAGTAACAATATTATTAACATGAAATCTATTTCTGGATTTACTGGTATAATTGTTGGATTGTTTATTATAACTAATATAACATTTCTAAATTTATTATTATTTAGATCATGATCAACTAATTAAAACAAAGAATAAATTAGCCAAAGAACCAAAAAACATTGTTGCTAGTAAAGAACAAGTCCAAACTCATCATTTTTCTCAAAAACATCTAATTAACAAAAAAACTAAGTAAATTGGTTTTTTCTTAATTATAGTTAAGCAGAAATTATTTTTATATGCATAGTAGATTAAATTACATGTATATGCTCTATATGCTTTCAATTAGATTTGCTATACATTTGAAATAATAGATAAATTATATATGTATTGAACAATTATTATATAAATACAATAAATTAAATTTATATTTGAAAAATATTATTGATATAAATACAGTATAAATACTATTGATATTTTATATTTGTAGAATCTTATTTATATAAATATAGTATAAATATTATAGATATTTTGTATATTTGTAGAATGTTATTTATATAAATATAGTATAAATATTATAGATATTTTAT